CCCATCCCAATAACACTAATAAAAGTCCTTGCAAACATATCAGTCCCAGTCCCATTAAGGCGTAAACCATCCAGGTCCCATCTGCCCCAGAACCACTGCTAATTCCTCAGAAATATGCCGCCTTTCCTCCTACACCAGTTCTTCAGCGCTGAGTTTAATTGCTCAGTCCTCCTATTCTCATGCTCACTAGCACAGAGCACTGGGAGTAATCTTGAGATTACTGATCGTGAGGCTCTGCTTCTTAGTTTCATTCCTAAACCCCCTGAAATCTGCTGTCAGGACCTCATCCCTCTTCCTATCTGTATCATTGGTACCAATGTGAACCAGGACTTCTGGTTTATCCAACTTCTGAAAAAAGGGATGTCCTGTAGGCACTTTGTAACATCCTTGACCCTGGCAACAGGGATGCAACACAATATCTTCGAGTCACTTTTAGACCATAAAACAATAAGACATAGGAGTAGAAGTAGGTCATTGAGCCCATTCTGACATTCAATAAGATTATGGCTGATCCACAACTCCACTTTTCTGCCTTTTCTCCGTAACCCTTGATTCCCTTACTAATTATAAACTTGCTTATCTCAGTCTGTCTTAAAGGTGCGACTCCTTCTTCTGAGATTATGCCCTCTGGTCCTAGACTCTTCCACAAGGAGAAATAACTTTTCTGCATCTACCCTGTCAAGTTCCCTGAGAATTTTATGTATTTAAATGTCTCTTCTCATTCTTCTATATTCCAACGAGAACAGGCCCATTCTACTCTGCCTACCTTATTCGATAGTCCTCCATGCCTGGTACTGTTTACTGCCACAGAAATGCCTGTCTGATCCCCTGACTATGGAATCTGCCGTAATTACTGCTCTTCTATATATTTTCCTTCCCTGTACAGCTCAGTCGCCTGTGGAGCCTTGGGCTTGACTCCAGCTGAAATCCTAAGGAACCACTGCACTCACCAGGTTCCCTCCTTAAGAGCACTACGGGTACCCACTGCACATGGACTGCAATGGTTCAAGGTAGCTCACCTACACCTTCTGAAGGGCAATTACGGATGGGCAATAAATGCTGGCCAGACAGCAGTGTCCAGATCCCACTTGTGGACTTTTTAAAAAACTAGAATATTGATTAGCGTACATGATAGACTCAAGGGATTCCTGCAGTATCTGCTTGGTTTTCATAAACTACTTCCTATATACCCATTTCCTCTCTGCCTCTACACTTCTAATCTGTGGCATGACCACCTTCCTATATGTGTTACCCACGCGGATGCACAACAGTGACTCTGGTCACTGCTCAAGTTTCAAAACTGAAAGCTCAAGATTTTGCAGCCGGTGACACTTCCTGCATTGAAACATAGAAGATAGGAGCAGGAGGAGGCCATTCAGCCCTTTAAGCCTGCTCAGTCATTCATTACGATCATGGCTGATTGTCCAACTCAACAGTCTAATCCTGGTTTCTTGCAATAACCTTTGATCCCATTCACCCCAGGTGCTATATCTAGCTGCCTCTTAAATATATTGGCATCAACTACTTCCTGTGGTAACGAGCTCCACAGGCTCACCAGTCTTTGAGTGAAGAAATGTCTCATCTCCATCCTAAATAGTCTACCCCGAATCCTCATACTGGTTCTGGACATATCCACCATCGGGAACATCCTCCTGCATCTACCCTGCCCACTCCTGTTAGAATTGTATAAGTCTCTATGAGATGTCCCCTCATTTGTCTGAACTCCAGTGAAAGCAATCTCAACCTAGTCAATCTCTACTCATACGTCAGACCTGCCATCACCGGAATCAGCCTGGTAAACCTTCACTGCAATCCCTCAAGAGCAAGAGCATCCTTCCTCAGAAAAGGAGACCAAAATTGCACACAATATTCTAGGCGTGGCCCTGTATAACTGCAACAACACATCCCTGCTCCTGTACTCGAAACCTCTCGCAATGAAGGCCCACATACCTTTTGCCTTCTTTACAGGTAAGCTGCACCTGCATGTTTACCTTCAGCAACTGGTGCACAAGGACACCCAGGTCCCACTGCACACTCCCCTCTTCAAATTTACAGCCATTCAGGTAGCAACCCGCCTTCTTGTTTTTGCTTCCAAAGTGAATAACTTCACATTTATCCGAATTATACTGCATCTGCCATTGATTTGCCCATTCACCCAAACTGTCTAGATCAGGCTGAAGGATCTCTGCATCCTCACCACAGTTCACCCTGCCACCCAATTCAGTATCATCTGCAAACTTTGAAGTTACATATTGTTCCCTCATCCAAATCATTAATATAGATTGGGAATAGCTGGGGTCACAGCACCGCTCTCCGTGGCACCCGACAAGGTACTGTCTGCCAATTTGAAAAGGATCCATTAATTCCTACTCTTTGTTTCCTCTCTGCCAACCAGTTTTCTATCCATCTCAATACACTTACCCCAAACTTGCACAATATTCTCTTATGCGGGACACTGTCAAACGCTTTCTGAAAGTCCAAATATACAACATCGACTGGCTCCCCCTTGTCAACTTTACTAGTTACATCTTCACAGAATTCCAACAGATTTGTCAAGCCTGATTTCCCCCTCGTAAATTCATGCTGACTCTCTCTCTCATCCTGCCACTGCTTTCTAAATGCTCTGCTATAAAGTCCTTGATAATGGATTCGAGAATCTTCCCCTCTACTGGTGTTAGACTTACTGATCTCTCATTCCTTGTTTTCTTTATGCCTCCCTTTTTGAATATTGGAGTGATATTAGCTACCCTTCAATCTGCAGGGACTGTTCCAGAGCCTACAGAATCCTGGAAGATAACCACCAATGCATCCACTATTTCTAGAGCTACTTCCTTAAGTACGCTGGGATGTAGATTATCAGGCCCTGGGGATTTATCCGCCTTCGATCCTATCAATTTTCCCAGTACCAATTTTCCCTACAAATGTGTTTGTCTCAGACACATGGTATATCTGTGACTTCACACATGCAGGATGTACAACTGACTTCTCCCTTCTGACCTGCCATCTCATAATTTTAAAAACCATAAGTATGATCTTACTAATGAAAACCCAACGAGCTATTCCTCAGAAACAGTGAGGCAGAAAAATAGTCTCAAGACTTAAATACCCAACTTTCACTTTAAAGATTAGAAATGCCAAACAAACCTATTCACCAATCAGCTGCTTTCCCTTCACTCTTGATGTCACGTTCTCATTGGCTTCAATGCATGCAGGCCTCCTGATCCATACCTTATTTCTTCTCCCATTTGCCTCTTATTCTGGAGTCATTATTTCTTGCAGTAAACCTTAATTAAAACACCACTTCACCCCTTTGCCCCAAAATTCCAGTTACTCACTGCCTCAGTCATACTCACTCTGATCATGTGCTTTCAACAACCCCTCTTACGTTGTAGAGCACGTTTATAAGTCACTTGTTTTCTTAACTTGATGGTGCAGTAATGGACACCTAATTCAGGCAAGGAATTTCAATTGTTTCATAAATTAACTGCCACAATTGGGCAGCTGTTTAACTAGGTGTTGCCAACTTCTTTAAAGGCTATTGGTTCTAGGCCCAATGATGAATTTTACTCTATTAAACTTACAAAAGATTTATCAGTTGAATTCCCACTTATCTAAATTGCCACTCACACATTCTGTTTTGGTCTTATTCTGACAGAGTCTTCCTCAATTTTAATGAATTGTATGTTTATTCATTTAAATAGTTACACCATGCACTGAAGAAGAGGCTGATCCAAATGGTTTATACATTTTCTATTTCAGATGTTGATGGGCTTTGTGAATTTTCAGTTTTTGATTTTTTTACATCAGATAGGAGCTTTGAGAGAGTAAATATATTTGCTCTTAAACATTCTGAAATATATTAATATACATTAAAGACAAATACTGCGCTACTCCTTCTATAGAAGTTTAAAACTAATAAATTTAATTTTACTCATTTCAGGGGAAAAGTACAATCATCTGTTTAAGATTTCTGAAAAAAGTGACTACTTTCAATTAAATTAGTCTGCAGATTCAAGCAATACAAAATATCAAATTTAAAACACAGGAAGAAAAGTGTAAATTAAATAATTAATTTTAATTATCAAATATCTACAATCAAAAGTTTCAAAATCTGTTTTGAAGACCATTCCAAATCAGGAATCAAACACAAGAGAGATTTCCCTGACAGCTCTATATAAAATTACATGTTCCTCCTTATTAGTTGATATTTGGTGGTGTAAGATAAAATACTGATTACAAAATACACATTAGACATTACAATAATGTGGCAATGTTGTCGAGAATGCAGATTACAATTTACTAAGGTCACTTTTGATACAAAACTTCTTTTACCATATCTGCCCCAAATGGTAACTGGTAAATGGTAACTTCAGGCATTTAACTGCATATTACAATTCCAGCACAAGACCTCTTATGTCAGTATGTTCAATTATACAAGACACTAACTTTTGTTCTTTTTTATAAAATATGATAATATGATTAGACACAAATTGATAGAAATGTGGCAGCAGTGGTATTAACGAAGAACTTTGCAAGCAGCCTACCATTTCTAGATATCTCTGTTAAGCTAATATACAACCCCAGACTTCTTCACAATGTTTCCTTTGCACAATTATGATTTCTAAGTTCTATTCTGTGAATCTTGCCATACTGTCCTGGCCTGTTAGCAGTCTACTGTGCTGAGAAGATGTACTATTTATAACAATATACCTAATTTCAATTACCAACAGAAGTTGTTACTTGAGGTGATTTACCAACACAAGTAATGAATTGGCAATTGTCGGTAGGGTTATGGTGGCACAACATTTTGCTCAAAATAACTTGATCAGACAGACAGATAATTTGCTGGGCCACGAGTCAGCAAAAGCAACTGAAGATATGGAGAATCCTTCACAAGGAGGAAATGGAGAAAAGAAAAAAAAAAATTAAGCAAAATAAAAGTCACTACATTTAGATAGATTATGAGAACAAAAATACAATTCATGTGCAACGGACACCAATAAGATGAATTTTTTAACTTTATTAACTATTATTTAAATAAGTGAGTGAATATTAGGCCACAGTTTCAGGAATAGATTTTGACTCTGGATTAAGATTGATCAGAGTGTTGCTGGCTTGTGCCAGTTCAACTATCGAAATGCGCCCTTGCTGTCTGATGAATTGAGCCACTGCTGCAAGTTCTTGTTCAGTGATATAGATGAATTTTCCACGATCATCCAGGACACCTACAAGAAAATTAACTTTCATAAATTGTGAACATTATTACTTGATAACCCATTAAATAGATTTCTTGATGCTCTACATTGTCAGTTATTTAATCAGAGATTAAAAGAAAACACAAAAGGCTCTGGTGGTTCAGTGGTAGTATCGCTACCTTTGAGCTAGGAAGCCCAAGTTCACATCTCACCTGCACCAGAGTTGTGTAATTACATCTCTGAATGGGTTCATTAGAGGAAAAGAAAGCACAGACAGCAAGGTCTTATCGAAAACAATTTTCCTTCTGTATAATTCCACCAGTCACTGCATTAATTGTTCACAAAAATGCACAATTCAGAATGAACTTTAAATAGCTCATTAGTAATATTATACCACAAAATGCACAAGTGGCTTACCTGTCAGAGTTCCTTCAGCAATCAGATCTTGCACTCTGTTAATAGCCTCCTTAAAATAAATTTTTTTAAAGTTGAAGATAAATAGTCAAAAATATTGAATATATTGTAAAATAACTTGTTAAAAGCATGCTAGCATTAAGATTGTTTGAATAGTTTACAGGCTCTGCACACGTGTCATCGCTGTGCCTAATCATCTATAGATGGTAGGCTCTTGCAGTGCAGTGGTAGTGTCCTTACTACTGGACCAGAAGCCATGGGTTCAAGTTTCACCTGTACAGAAATGTACAAAAACATCCCTGAACACTTGGATTAGAAAATACCAAAGTTTCCAGTCAGGAGGGCTCTTGTAGTGGTAGTATTCCTACCTCTGAGCTAGGAGATTGGGTTCAAGAACCACCCACTCCTGTTCCCATTTCATTCATTTTTAAATTCATCAGGAAATGTGAACTTGCATCCTGTTGTCTTTATAGTAGTGGTGAGCTGCCTTTTTGAACCACTGCAGTCCATTTTATGTAAGCACATCCAGAATGCTGTTAGTGAGGGTGTTCTAGTATTTTGACACAGTAACAGTGAAGGAAAGGCAATATATTTCCAAGTCAGCATGGTGAATGGCTTGGAGGGGAAATTGCAAGTGACGGTGTTCCCATGCAGGCAAGTGGGGAGTATTCCCTCATACTGCTGCCTTGTACCTGGTTGATGGACAGGCATTATGGAGTCAGGTAGTGAGTCACTTGCTGCAGCATTCTTCGTCTCTCAATTGGCTTACAACCACTGTATTTATATGGCAAGTCTAGTTCACTTTCTGGTCAATGGTAATTCCCCAGGATGTTGCTAATGGGAGATTCAGTAATGGCAATCCATTGACTGTCAAGTGGAAATGGTTACATTCTGTCTTGTTGGAGACGGTCTTGCCTGTTACTTGTGTGGCACAAATGTTACTTGCCATTTGTCAGCCCAAACCTAGATATTGTCCAGGTCTTGCTGTCTTATGCTGATGATGCAAGTGATGATGATTTAACCTAGGATACTGCCACAAGGAATACTTGCAGTGATGTTCTGAAGTGAAGATGATTTGAGATGAGTTAATCAAGAATTGAAATGAAATTTTCCGACTCAGTATTAATAAGTACCACACTAAGTTGTGCTTGGTCCCTCAGAGAAACAGAATAGATTTTGTAATAATGAAGTCAAAATGGCAAGTTTACTAGACAATAATGAATATTTAGAACTGAAATGCTGAAGAACACTATCTATCCCTTATGGCAATATCTTAGGGAAGATAGAATAAAATTACATTTTGTTTACTGGATGTGGAAATTTAAGAACAACATGACCAATTATTGCAATAAGCTTTCAGACAGAAAGCTTGCTGTGTGCAAAGAGCAAACAAAAGGATTAGATTACACACAGAAACAGCTTTAAAGTTATTATACATCCATTTCCATTTAATGGGAGCTTTCTTTGGGCAAAATTGTTTGCCTTCATTAACAACAGTACTTCCAGTTTAAAATTCTATGGTTGTAACAAATTTGGGATATTCTGAGGGCTGGATACAAAACCAAGTGTTGTTGGTGCTTTATTGAGTGTATTTTTCCTTTTACTTCAAACTGGAAGGAGGCGGCTTTTTGTTTTTAAACAAGACCACTTACCTGCGTCCTCAAGCCAAAATGAGAAGCAAGATCTTCCAAAAGCACAACCTTTGTACTCTAGAAAAGAATATTTAAACTAGTGGTCATCCACAGCTCTTGACAAAAGTATAGTAAACAGACTTCCAAAAATTAAAAACAGAAAAATCACTGAAAATCCTACTGCATTTACACAAAATGAGAATTTAAATGTCAGTGTTGACTTGCCAAGAATGAGCAAAGCTCTCAGCTGCTGGCAACTTATCAACAAATACATAACAAGAAAGTGCCATGCTGGGTACAACTGAATAACCACTGGTTCTAAAGATTAAAGTTGGAACACAAGTTAAATTGCTGATAATGGTCCAGCTAGAAATGTTATTATCCATTCTGCCCCTAGTTTTTTATGAACTAATTTGTGAAGACAAAAATTCAATCCTACAGAAGTTGTGTGTCAAAAATGTTATCTAACTTTAATCAAGTAGCACCCACTTTTGTTGTTTTATTTTGTTTGGCTGTCAGATTTGCAAGACAGATCTGCAAGACTGGCCACATCCAAATATAAACAAGTTAAGTTATCTGTAACAGGCAAGATAACTGATAAATTGAAAAGATTTCATAGAAACACTTGCTCAGACGAGGTGATTAAGGCTGAAGAAATACTGAAGGGTGGAGCAGCCAAGCTGGAGAACTGACTACTATGGACTGAAAAATGAAGTTGCAACCAGCCCATGGAATTCAGTTCTCATAGCTGGGAGCTGCCAAAATCCATCTTCTGTTCTTCTGTGGTGATGTGAGGAAAACGTACAGATAGACCTACGCATAATAACGTCAATCATAGAGGAAGAGAACATACACAAGCAGTCTGCCTTTTTAAACATTGTAAAACATTAGTCTGCATAGAAATTGTCAAATATTATTCAGTAATTTCTCAGTGAATTGTATATACAAGAAAGTTTGAGAGACCATACTAACACTTATCAATTAACATAAAGCAAAACTTACTCTGGATGTTAACTTAACTTTATGACAACAATTTCAACCATATACTGTGACAGGTAATGAGATTTTCACAAGTACATTATACTGTAAAGGCTCTGGACAAAATGACTAATAGTTCCAGCATTAAGTCATAGACCACAATGGTCTTTCCTCACTTTCACAAGAAATCACAATTCCATCATTTCTTACCAAGTACTGTACTGTCGATATAAAATGCCTCCTACCTACTTGCAATTTTCTCTTTGAAGATATACGCCTACCTTCTTCATAGTGATCTACATACGACATTATTCATATGTCTGTCACTTTTTGACTGTTTCAGACACAAGTTTGTCTTACTACCCATTGTTAGAATAGTAATTAATCTTGATCATCATAAAAACATCAAAGTAAATAACTGCGCATTTAATACCTCCCATTTTCCAACCTATCACAGACTTTTCCTGCTGTTCTTTTCCTCTTTTACCTGTTAAAACCTAAAAACTACATTTCTAAAATTTCTGACTGAACTGCTGAGCATTTCCTGTGTTTTCTGTTTTTATTCAAGAATATTAAGTTTTACCAGGCATAGGATGAAAACTACAAACCAGGACCAAATCAAATGGGGGAGGAAACACGCCAAAAACCACTTGGAGCCAAGAGACAATCTAACCACTACCCCTTGACATACAATGGTGTTACCATCACCGTGTCCTCCACTATTAACATCCTTGTTGCTACCATTGACCTGAAATTCAACTAGACTTGTCACAAACAGTAGCTACAAGAGTAAGTCAAACACTAGGAACACTGTGGTACGTAACTCACCTCCTGACTCCCCAAAGCCTATCATCTACAAGGCACAAGTCAGGAGTATAATCGAATAGCCTCCACTTGCCTGACTAGGTGTAGCTTGAAACCATTCAGGACAAAGCAGCCACAAGGATCCACACCCTCCACCAATTCCTCAGTAGCAGCAGTGTGTACTATCTACAAGATACACTGCAGAAATTCACCCAAGATCCTTTAGATAGCACCTTCCAAACCCACAACCACTTCCATCTAGAAGAACAAGGGCAGCAGATATATGAGAACAGTAAGTTCTTCTCCAAGCTGTTCACCATCCTGACTTGAAATATCTCACCATTCCTTCAGTGTTGCTGGGTCAAAATCCTGGAATCCCCTTCCTAAATAAATTGTGGCTCAGTCTACATCACATGAACTGCAGCAGTTCAAGGAGGCAGCACACCACCACCTTCTCAAGGGTGACTAGGGCCCGCCAGTGATGACCACAGTCCCACAAGTGAATAAAGCTGTTACATTTGCATATCAGGGAATCTGAAATAGTGCAGCCTCCACTATCCAATTTTCTATTATTAATTGAAATTTAACCAAAATTACTGGGTGACTACCACGACAACCAGAAAGTCTCAATCAGAAATTATACAGGTATCTATTGTATGCTAAATTTCATGCTTCTCAGCTAGAGGTTCAAATCCTAGAATTATCCATTCATGAAGCTCACTAGTCATTGCAGATAGGCTTTAAAGTCTTTGCTGAAGTCATACATTCTCAAATAAAAGAGCTATAGTACCAGATGAACTAGCATCCACTACTGCCTGCACATGGATTTTATAAACCGTTTCCATAAATCCAAGTAGGATAGCTAGAATAATATTTGTGCCCAATTAGTCACATCGTCATTCGCTCATCTTGCGGTTTCCTTCTTGCCTACTCATTAGCTGCATAAATCTCTAAGAAAGTGGAGGTGTTCATCTACTTCCCTTATAGATAAGGCATATTTGACTAGTCAGAACATTTAATTTTTATTTTTTACTGAAGAGCTGAGGGGAGAGTGGGGGTATAGTAAGTTGTGAGTGCCAACTACCTTTCTATTTCAAAAACGAGTGTGATTTTTCAAAAGTGAACTTGCAACAGTGTACCTAATTCCAGGACCGGGCAGTAATGCCATTTTATCAAAAAAGGTGAGGCATTTAGCTTGGGGAGAAGATGAAACAATTAATCTACACAAAGTCCTGCAATCTCAACTGCTGAAAACCTATCAGCGTGTTACTTAATCACTTTCTTGGTCACTACTTAGTTCACTTTGTATCCCAAAACACATTTGCCATAATCCTACTAGGTCATAGGGCTGCTCTCTCAGAGACATACAGCATGGAAACAGACCCTTCAGCCCAACTCGTCCATGCTGACCAAGTTTCCTAAACTGAACTAGTTTCATGTGCCTGCTTTTGGCCAATATCCCTCTAAACCGTTATGATTCATGTAGCTGTCCAAATGTTTGTTAAATGTAACTGCACTTGCCTCTACCACTTTCTCTGGCAGTTCAATCCAGATATGCACCATATTCTGTGTGAAAAAGCTGCCCCTCAGGTCCCTTTTAAATCTTGCCCCAATTACCTTAAAACCCACGCCCTCTAGTTTTGAACTCCCCTACCCTAGGGAAAAGACCTTTGTTATTCAGCTTATCTATGCCCCTCATGTTTTATAAACTTCTGTGAGGTCACCCCTCAACCTCCTACAGTTCAGGGAAAAAAGTCCCAGCCTGTCCAGCCTCTCCTTACAATTCAAACCCTCCAGTCCTGGTAATATCCTTGTAACTCTTTTCTGCACATTTTCCAATTTAATAACATCCTTCCTATAGCAGGGTCACCAGAACTGTAAGCAGAAACCCAAAAGTGGCCTCACCGATGTCCTGTATAGCCACAACATGACTTCCCAAATCCTACACTCAATGCTCTGACCAATAAAGGCAAGCATGCCAAACACCTTCTTCACCATCCTTTCTGCCTGTGACCTTCAAGAATCTGTGTACCTGAACCTCTCGGTCTCTATATTCAACAACACTCCCTAAGACCCTACCATTGACCGTGTCCTGCCCTGGTTTGGCTTACTAAAATGTAGCACCTCACATTTATCTAAATTAAACTCCATCAACCACTCCTCAGCCCATTGGCCCATCTGATCAAGATCCCATTGTATTTTTAGATAACCTTCTTCACTGTCCACAACACCACCAATTTTGGTGTCATCCATAAACTTACTAACCAGGCGTCCTATATTCTCATTCAAATAATTTATATAAATGACAAACAAAAGTGGACCCAGCACCAATACTTGCAACACATGGCTGGTCACAGGCCTCCAGTCTGAACAGCAGCCCTCTACAACCCTCTACTCTGTCTCCTATCGTAAAGCCAATTTTATATCCAATTGGCTACTTCTCGTTGGATCCCACGTAATCTAACTTTACGAATCAGTCTACCATGTGGAACCTTGTTGAGATGACCGGGTGGTGGTTTAACTTGAGGTTCACCATGAATAAGGCACGGTTAGGGGTCGAGAAGGAAAGTCGTTCAGGGCAACCTCAGTTGGTTTGGGAATTGAACCCTGCTGGCATCATAAACTGGCTGCGTAACAAGCAATGTTTTTCCAATCTAGTACAACCTGCAAGATATAATATCCATCTCAATACATCTCTTCCCACCTTCAAAAATCTCAAGATCAATTTCTTTGACCAGTCATCTGTACAACTCCTGCTCTTTTCCATTCTGCTATTTCTAAGGCATCTAAAAAGTTACTCTACAAACATCATAGTCAAAGGCGTTATGGTACAAAGGACTGAATGGCAATGTTCTGGGTGTATGCCAGTTCCCTGTAGAACAGATCAGTCAGTCCCTTACCCTTGCTTTATCCATATAACCCATGTTATTTCCCTTGACTGCCTATCCGATTTGCTTTTGAACACAGGAACAGTTTCTGCATTCATTAACCTAATGGGCAGCAGATTCCAAAGTATTACCACTTGCTGGGGGAAAAAAAAAATTCTTCTCAAAATGTACACTATAACTTCTGCCCCAAAGTTTATTGCTGTTGTAACCTTTACAGAAAGCAAAAAAAAAACTCTTCTGGTGTGAAACAAACTGAAAGCTTTTATATTAGTTGGGAAGAAAAAGCGCAATCACTTTAATCCAACCTAACCCACTTGAAAAATTAATCTAATCATAATGGCTTCCATTTTCTGGTGAAATCAGTGGGATGTAAAATTGTAGGGAGTAAATCAGATGCCAATCCCATTCCACCAGTTTGCAGCTGGGTGGGTGATGTTAAATTGAGATCTGCAAATTATGGGCATCTATAAATCACATTAAAAATATCTTTTCAACAAATATCTGAAGAGAGAAAGGCTAATATTGTGTGTGTAACATTTGAAATATTAACTGAACCTTCCCTTTCAATGTGCATAATCCTCTTCTATGATGTATTATAAACTCAATCAGATAAATAGACCTGTCTAAATTTCTCTCAATTAGGGAGCACTTCAAATGGATTTAACGACTAATTCAGTGGTATTAAATTGTTAAACATTTGCACGAATGTTGCAGTGTCATGAATTAGGACTAATTCTAGTCTGCTGTAGACAGTGGCAGAGAATACCTGGAGTTAATAAACAAATATAGGAATTGGGTGCGTAAGTAGCATATTTGGCCCTGCAGGAAGATCAATGCTGATATGTTTGCACTCCAAATTCCACATTCCTATCTATCCCCAATAACCTTTGAATCCCCTGCGCAACACGAGTCTATCTACCTCCACCATATAAAAAATTCAGTGACCCTACTATCTCTTCTACCTTCTGATGCAAAGTCACACAATCCCTTGAAAGAAAAGAAATTCGCCTCAACTGTCCTGAAGGATGACCTATGATTTTAAAACAGTGTTCCTTACTTCTGGACTCAACCACAAGAGGAAGTTTGCATGTCCACCTTGACAAGACCATTCAGGATCTTATAACACTTCAATCAAATCAACCTTTACTCTTCTGAATTCAAGTGAAAACAAGCCCAGCATGTCCAGTGGTTCCTTAAAAGACAATGCACTCAATCTAGTAAACCACCTCTGAACTGCTTCCAATATATTCACATCTTTCCTTAAATGAGCAGACCAAAATTGCACACAGCATTTGAGATGTGGTCTCACCAATGCTCTAAGTGAAGCATATCAATTCCTCTTGTAATAAAGGCTAGCAACCCATTAGCTTTCCCGATGATGTGTGCTGCATGTGCATACTTGCATTTTGGACTTATGAACATTTAGATCCCTTTGCATCTCAACTCTGTAGTTGTTCTCCATTTAAATAATACTCTGCTGTTTTAGTCTACTTGCCAAAGTGAACAACTTCACATTTTGCCATATTATACTCCATCTCTAAATTTTTACCTACTTATTTAATTTGTAAATAATTTATTTTAAAAGATGGTCTGCATCTTTGTTATGAAATAGTAAGAACTGCAGATGCTGGAGTCAGAGATAACACAGTGTGGAGCTAGAGGAATACAGCAGGCCAGGCAGCATCAGAGGAGCAGGAAAGCTGACGTTTCGGGT